TAAGACAAAGTGCCCAACATCCAGAGTTAAAGGCAGGAAAGTTTATTTAGTTCACAGTTAGTAAAGCTTTCAGTCCATAATCGGCTGGCTCCAAGGCACAGTGGCTTAGCAGAGAACAGCTCATAGTGCGCAGCAGACAGCAAGAGCAAGCAAGCAAGAGGCCTTAACAGCTTCTTTCTGCCCTTTTCTCTTATCCAGGCTACTTAGGGCAGGTAGCTCTCATTACCCTTAAACCTAGTGCCCTGGAGCCAAGCACTGCACCATGAATTAATCCCAGTGCACACACTAGACTCAGCCACCTCTGAAAATGCCCCACTTACAACTGCATGAGGATTTGGGAGGACATCCAAACACAAGCCGTAACAATCCCCCATACAAGAATGGTTAAAGGCAATTAAGACGTTATAACGAAGTACTGTAGTCTAATTTTTTTAATATGTGAAACTGAGTATATCCAAGAGTAGAAGGTAGTATAATAAATTCGCTGAGCCACCAACTCAAGTATCATCAATTTATGGCCGATCCACTTGCCACCCTTACATACTATTTTGAATTATTAGACAACATATCATTTTAACTGTAAATATTTTAGTATAGATCTCTAAAAGATAAAAGTATCTTTTAAACATATTTATTTTAAAATATTTACAAATACTGTAACAGCTTAAGAATCAGGACTCTACATATTCATCATGACCTTAGCTATGTTAAAAAATGTAATGAAAAATATCTGGAAACATATAGCACAGTAACAAAAATAATAAAATTTCCCCTTTTATAACTCCTCTATTTTCTAAGTTTTCCATAGAGCACATGTTAAACATGTAATTAAAAACAAACTATCTAAAAGCTTTCCACCAAAATTAAAGTTAATAAATCTTTAATGTAAAAAACTCAGATGCTGAATAGCAGTTTTAAATAGTAAAATAAGGTAAATGTGACTCCAAGGTAAAATTTAACATATTATACTCATGTGTATGTAGCAAACTACTCTTGGGCATTAGAATTAAACTGTCTACATTCTCATAAGAAACCAGCTGTTGAAGGCCAGGGATGTGCTCAGTGGTACTTGATGACTGGCTGTGAGGCCCTGGGTCTGAACAGGGAGGGAGGAGGACAGGAAGCAGGGAGAGAGGCAGGGAAGAGTCAGTTCAATAATAACAAACAAGTCTGTAACATCTTGACAAATCTTATTATCACTACTATCTCATTTAACCCAAAGGGCCCTAAGATCATCACTGCCTCTATTTTGCAAAGCAAGGGCAAGTGAAAACTAAAAATGTTTACCAAAGAACAGTCATTTTGATCAGAAGATAAGATCAGCATTTTTAACCCTTCCTCTTCTTGGGTCCTAAATCAGAGAACACAGGGAACCTGCCGGGATAGAAAGGAGGCTGTCCCCACATGGTTTAAGCTCGTCTCCCTGTGTGATCCCACTGAAGGGTGAAAAGCATCATTTCAAATCAGGTATATTTGGGCTTTCTAATCCTGACTTTATCCGGTGGATTTTCTTCCTGTTTGTTTTTTAACTAAAAAGTGATCTCCCATACATTCTTAAAAAGAAAAAAAAAAAAAAAAAAAAACCACTGGTGCTCGCCAAATCCAGGAGTGAAGCACAAAGCTGCAGCAAGGGCTTCAGGAAGTCAGGGTGCAACCGAAAAAGGATGGAAGAGATCTATCCATCTCTGGGATCAGTGCAGAGAGAGCCCTCCCAAGACCGCTGCTGTGCCCAGACCTGGAAAGATTCTCAGAAAAGGAAAAAAATCCTTCTTATGTACATGTATAGGTAGATAACATTTCCTTTGTTGTAGACACGAGTAGCTAAAACTAATAGTTCTAGAGTTGTAATAACCACTCAATACTAATGCAAGCAAATTTTTCAGTGTAACACTAGAGAAAGAAGAGGGAAGAAAAATACTCATACTAGTGGTTTACAGAGCCCAAGTGTCATCTTCATAAGCAAAGTCAAAAGATAGCTAAAATGGGAAAGAAATCAAGATGAAGTATAATCTTGTTATTTAGAAATATGGAAGGAAATACTAGGAAAAAGTGTTACGATTCAAAGAGTTGAAAGTTTTATAAATCTGATGAAGAGGGCTGGGGATGTAGCTCAGCGGCATAAGCACTGGCCTGACAAGTCTGAGGTCATGAGTTCGATTCCCGGTACAAAAAAAAAAAAATCTGATGAAGAATCAGAGTAGCTGAAAAATTTATAAACAGATTTATAAAAGACTTAGAGGGTTTGGAGTGAGCTGAAAATGACACAAAAGATCATGGGTCTTTGTCATAAGCCTGCATTTCTTTAAGTACTTTTTGTAAAAATAGGAGTAAACAAGTATGCGCTCACTATATATAACAAATGTAGTTCAGTCATATCTTACCTTCTGTGTATTATGTGTAGTGTGCATTCTTCTACATCTTTCCACATGTATAAAAACACAGCTTTTTTTTTTTTAATTATTTGGGTTTTTTTGGAGTTTTGGGGGATACCAGGAATTGAAATCCTGACTTCACGCTTGTCAGGTAGATACTGTACCCCGGGCTATATCCCCAGCCCAGTCTCTTAGAAAACAAAAACACAAGAAAAGGCATCATACCATTCTATTTTGCAACGTGCTTGTTTTCAGTGAACATGAATCCCCTTGTTTTATCAGAGAGCTCCTCTTGTGTCAGACAGATCTCAACATTTTTCTTACTGGCATGGGCTGCACAGGATGACAGAATAATGGCCCCCCAAAGACGTCACAGTATGACAGAATAATGGCCCCCCAAAGACGTCTACTCTAGAACTTGTGACTACGCTACTCGACAGGGTGGCAAGGACCGTGGGTGTGATTAAATGAAAGGTCTCAAGAAGAGCAGCCCAGCTCGCCCAGGTGGGCGGTACGCAGCCTCAAGCTTCCTTACCGTGAAGGGAGAAGTCGGCCCCAGAGCCGGACCCCACATGTCAAAGCCCGGGGTCCTGTGAAGTCGCTCACAGAGCTCTCCGGTCTTCAGCTAACTCCGGACTGGGGCCTAGGAACTGCTACCACCACATGCAACGACCCTCACCTCACACCTTCTTGGTGTCCTTTTAAAAAAGCCATTCTCTCCCCTGAGCATGTGGGAGAAGTCAGTCCTGGCTTCTCTCATAGCACCTCTTCCAGCACCCTGAAAGCCTGCTCGAAATCATGCGTGCTCCTCGGAGGGAACCTTCCCTTCTCTGGCGCCTGCCCACCCTGTGTGGAGCACGGGCCCCTCTTACCACAACTCCCCAATTGTGAAATGGTGAGAATGCCCAACATTACACATGTGTAAAAGATACCACTCACACGCTTTACACGTACACAAACTAAGACGCTTACACACATTAACTAGTTCAATCCTGAAACACTGTAAAATAGCAATCATGCTTACCACCACTTACAGATACTGGAGACAGACAGGGAGGGCCACACTGCCCACTGGTGCTATGAACCACGACACTTGGCTCCAGAATCCATGGGACAATCAATAAAGTCCAAACATTCTAGTTTTACTGTAAACTAAGCTGACACTTCCATAGATTCTAGGAATTACCACAATTAATGGAATGCTTACTCAGTCCCTAAGTCAGCCTGCTTTAACGGAATACCTTATCACCCAACAAGGGTGGAACCTGCCTGAACCTCTTTCTACTGGCAGTTATTTAAATGATACATCTAGCACCCCAAAAAGCTGAGGTCAATTCTGCTCTGAATCAAAAGGGCAGAAGATAATAAATCTAGATACTTGTTTCACCTGGCGCCTCAGTTACTTTCAGACCTAAGCTAGTACAACCCAGACAAGGCCAGGCAGGAAGTCAGGCCTTATCTAGTAAACAGCAATACGACCATGAAGCAAAAAAAAAAAAAAGATCAGCTTGGGGCACACCCCATAACAAAGTGATCGAAGGTTTCTAGAGCTGAGTGTCCCACACAGGAGCCAGGCGCATGAATTCAGAAATGCCCTAGATTTTGAAGACTTAGCACAAGGAAGAATGTGAACTATCATTAATAGGCTTTAACATAGTGATTACTTGTTTGAAACAGTATTATTTTGACGCCCATCAACCTGTGAATAGACAAGCAAGATTGGTTTTTTAATATGGTGGAGTACTACTCTGCCATAAACAGGACAAACTTGACACATTTCTAGGTCAGTAGACGCATCTTGAGACCATACTCTACGTGAAATCAGGCACATGTTTAAATATTGCAGTTTCTCTGGTGTGCGAAACCGAAAGTGTAAATAAGGACCAGAATGTATAACAGATGTTAGGGAATAAGAAGACAACGTTCAAATGGGAAGAGGAACAAGGGAAGGGGGAGGGGAAAAGGAAGGAAGGGAAGAGAAAAGAATAGAAGGGAAAAAATGGAAACCAAGCTTCGTAAGTAAGTAGGGGAAGAGGGATTGAAGGGAGGGGAGGAGATTGGGGGAAAAAAAGAACCAAGATATACACACACACAAATCCCCTACAATGTATGTTATCATTATGTGTATCTAAAATGTACCAATAAAATGAATTTTTAAAAAAGCAACAAAATTACCAAATTAGTATTTTGAACATATGAGGTTTAAAAATAAATATTAAAATTAACTTCAGGTTATTTTTTAATGTAGCTACTAGAAATGTTGAAGTGTTGTTTACGGCCAGGTGTCTTGGCACACATCTGTAATCCCAGCACTCAGGAGGCTGGGGCAGGAGGATCACTGCCAGTTCCAGGCCAGCCTGGGCTACAAATTGAGTTTAAGGCCAGTCTGAACTGCACAGTGAAACCCTATGTCAAAAAGCAATCAATCAATCAATCAATCAATAAATGTTTTATGTACTTTTCTGTTGGACAGAGGCATCATAGAATCATTAGTCAAAACAGTCTAAAGGCACCAACTGTACCCCACCCAACTACTACTTTACTTTCAATCACACATGTTTATCCAGGAGAAGAGTACAAGCAGAGGAGGAAGATAAAGCAGGAGCCTGTCAGGGAGGCATAACTTACCTGCTCCTTACACAGTGAAGCCAGTCAATCGCTGGCTGTCGTAAGTAGCAACGGTAGAGCATCAATATCCTGCCAACGAAAGAACACACATGCTGTGATCCTTTCTCACCAAGATTTCTCACATTCCTCCCACCGCTAGTCTTACACACTCATCACCTCACACCTCAAACATCACAACAGCCTCTCAGCTGACTGAACTCTAGTTTCTCCAGCCAGCAGCCAGGCAATGCCCCTACAATAGGATTACATTCAATCAGAGTGTCTGTGTGTGTCTGTAGGAGGCACTGCACAGTACTAGGCCTCCAGGAATTCATCACTCTCAAGAACGACTCACCCACCAACACCCAGCAGGGTTAAAGACGCCCCACCCTCTGACCCCAGGGTTCCTCTGCTAGAAGATACCCCATTTCTGTATTCTTTAACACACGCACAGAGAGAAAACATGTACATTTGCAGACACATGATCTATAAAATGGATAAACCTACAAATAACCTAAATGTCCATCAACATGGTATTTTAAATTTTATTATATAAATTTCAGAGAACTGTGTGTATATGGATATGCACGTGATACATAAAACACCTATACACCATCGCCAACATTGTAAATTTAAAACTGGTCATTTTCATCCTACTCCTTTATGAAAAATGCACAATGTCTCTCACGTACTCCACCCATTTTCTCCCCATGACTGTGATTTGTTGATGCAAATGGCTGGTTCATCTGTATCTCGCTGTTGCGGTTATGTCTGGCTGTCTCCCCAAGGCCTCATGCAGTCATGGGGGGTGGATTTTCCCGGGTGGCTGAGTTTGTGACTGATTCAGGGTCCAATGCTGGGATTAAAGGTGGGAGTGCTATGCTGGCCCAAGGGCGGATAACCGCAATCCCCCCTCGAGCACGCGCTCTCTCCTCTCCTCTCTCACTCTCCTTGATTTTGCTGGCTGCTCCTGTGCCACGCCACCCTGCCTCGGAGCCAGCTGACTATGGACTGAAACCTCCACACACTGTGAGCTAAATGAACCTTTCCTCCTTTAACTTTGGGTGTTGTTGGGTATTTTGTCTCAGCAACGAGAATAGTAACTAAGACACGCACATTCTGAATTTTTCTGACTGTTCTCTCACCTAATATTGACTATCTTTCCCTTTGTATGTGTGTGTGGTGGTGGTAGGGATCAACTCTAAGGCCTCTTCCACACTAGGTCTGTACCCTACCACTGAACTCTACACACACCCCAGCCCTAATTTCTTTATTTCACATATCTTATTTTATTTTAATGTACGTTATTTATGTTGTGGTGCTCCTCGTTGAACCGGCGAGCTTGTACACACACGTTAGGCATGTGCTCCATCACAGAGCTGCACCACCTGCCCTCTCTCATAACTTGCAAACTGCAAGTAAACATGAAAAGCTTGATTAAATTCAGATTAAAAATTGGTCCTGGCGCCCCACACCTGTACTCCCAGCACTCAGGAGGCTGACACAGGAAAGATCACCAGGAGTTCAAGGCTAACCGAGGCTACACAGTGACACACTGCAACAAAAAAACCAAAACATATATATTTTAAATAATGAATTCATGTTGAGATTTACAGTCAGAACTGAACATTACTAGATTTTCTTTTTGCTTAGCTAGCTTCTTTGGTTTTATGCTTGCATCTCTACTGGTTCCTAACAGCAGAAAGACTCACTTGGCTTTATCCTACACTCTATATCAAATGGTGCCCAGAAAAAGTGCCAGTATTACAACTAGCAAGAAAACAAGTAAATGAAGTTTGAAATTTCTTTGCAGCTTTTTCTGTGCAACTCAAGTCACTCAGAATACTGCTTCTCCATGTTTAGGTAACTATATATTTGTATTTTTACCTAGATTCACGTGCTTGTTTGCACTCAATCTGTTTTTTAATTTATTTCATTGTAAATTTAAAGAGTATACACTCAAGCTAAACAAACAGAAATCTTTATCCCCTTCATTTCCTTCACTCTATTGCCCTCACCCTCCACCACAGAACAATAATGAGCTTTGCTTTGTCTTTTTGGTTTTTTCATTGCAACATAAACAAACTAGTACACTGGACCTATTCTCCACCCTAATTCCTACCCCCAAAAGCACACTATATATGCACTGTTCTGTACGGTACTTTTTCTCTCCCTACTACTGCATACCTGCTGTCCCAGCTTCTTGTGCAGCTAGGCTATGGTCACATGACCTCCAACCCAACAAGTAAGCATCTGCACTAAACTCTAACTTAGAAGCCAGCATACACACTGCTGGTAGAGCATAGAAACCATCGCGGCAAGAGCCAAAGATTCTAACTACAACCATGTGACAAATTTCTTTTCTGCTAAATTAACCAGAGATGGTTTTTGCTGCTTAAAACTAAGGACTGTGATCAACCTAGGCAATCTGAGGAGCTGTAACAGCAAGTGAACAGGCCCTGAGCCACAGGGAAGAGGGGCAACAGGACACAGTGATGGAAATGTGAACGGGATGTAAATGTGACGGGATCATCTTATACAGCCATACAGGCAGCTAGCACCGAACCAAACTGTAGTGTCTTTGCTAGGAAGCCACGAGAATGTTTTGTTGCTGTTATGGTTTTTTCTTTTTTTTAAGGGGTTTTTTTTTTTTTTTTGAGATGAGGTTCATTATATAGTTCAGGCTGGACTTGAACTCACTATGCAGCCCAGGCTGGCATCTACCTCACAGCAATCCTCCTGCCTCAGCCTGCCCAGTGCTGGGATTACAGGCCCATGCCACCACACCCAGCCCCATCAGAATGCTTTAAACAGGAGTGTTGTGACACTTTTATAAAGCTATCCTTGTTATTATACGATCAATCGACACACAAGGGAGGTAGGAACTGGCTGGTGTATACACTACAGGCAACAACTGAGGCAGGGACACTCGCGAGGAGATTATCCCAGGCAAGAGCTGAGGGCACTCAGGCTAAAAGGACATCTGTGTGGCCATCTACATCTTTCACCTTCAATCCTGATAACTAGGTTTAAATCTAATACAGTATTTTATGCTTTCAACTTGGCCACTGATCTATTTTTCTGTCTTTTCTGGCTTTCCTTTATATAGGGTCTACTTCCTCTACTGATTTGGAAGTTAAGACACTGTTTTTGCTCTTTTATTGGCTCTGCATGAGAAGTCTAAAGTTAATCAAAATTTTTTTTTCTCAAAAAAAAAAAAAAAACCTTATGGATTTCTAAAAGATCTACACAACACATCAACCAAATGAAATGTATAGATAGACCTTGTTTAGATTCCAATTTGAAGAAACCAAATGAAAAATCTTAAATCTTTTTTGAGATAATTTGTGATATATGAACACTGCCTATATAGGTAATAGTATTAAGGAACTGTTGCAGATTTTTTTCTAGATATAATATTGGTATTCTAGTTTAAGTTCTTGAGATTAAAGAAAACAAGAATTTATAGGTGAAATATCATGATACATTCATCTCCTCTGTCAGAGTCTTGTTTTTTCATCTAGGAGACACTTCTCAAGGTTAAGGCAATCCATTTCCATTTCCCAAGTACCTCTCACCTTCCCTACTTTTTACTTACACTTCATTCCTGCCATCTCGCACCAACCCCATTCTGCCCTAGATGTAACCCTTAGAAACGCACCGTCCAGTCTGGTACGCAGAGTCAGGGTATTCAGAAGCCAGCTCCGCTCACCCATCACACTAGCCGCGTTCCGAGCGCTCAAGAGCCCTCTGCGGCTCATGACAACACTGGACAGCACAGAGATCAAGAACACTGTGCTGTAAATTATCCTTCACGGGTGAGACGCTAGTGACATGCTGTTTTCATCTAAACATATCTTTATCTCCTCACCAGTCTTTAAATGCAACTTTACTAGATACAAAACACTAGATTGGCAGGAGGTATTCTGCATTTCATACTGCAGGAACCAATTCACTGTCTTCTTGTGCTGCTGAGAAGTCATCTGTTAGTCAAATTTCCACTCCTCTGATGGGTACCTTCTTTTTCTCCAGCTACTTTTAAAAATTTTCTCTATGTTACTGATTTTCTGTGGTTTTACTGTGATATGTCTAAGTGTGGGTTTATTTTTATCTTAATTGGAATGGTTGGGATTCTTGAACTCTGATTCTTTCATTGGTTTGGGGAAGTATCAGTCACCATCTCCTCTTTTTGTGTGTGGTTTTTTTTTTGTTTTGTTTTGTTTTGTTTTTTTTTGGTCTTTTTTGAGACAGGGTCTCTCTATGCAATCCAGGCTGGCCTCGAATTCACAACAATCCTCCTGCCTCAGCCTTCCAAGTGCTGGGATTGCAGGTGTGTGCTACCACGGCCAGCCACCATCTCCTCATTCTGTCCTGCAATTCCAATTAAGATCTCACTCTGTCCCCATATCTCTTACCCTGTGTTATGTATTTTCCATGTTTTGGCTTCTAAGCTATACTCTCCATAATTTTATCTGTTCTATATTATTCTAGTTTGATAACTCCGTGTCCAATTTGTTAGAAATTGGTCACTAAATTTCTGAGTTACTGTTTTTTTAAAAATTTTCAGATGTATTTGGTTTTTTCAAGTCTACAATGCCACCTTTTAAAGTTTCCTCTCCTGCCTTCCAGGGTGCTACTGAATAATGACAAATATCCCCTGGGGGCAAAATCATTCCTAGTTAAAAGCCACAACACCATGTACTTCTTGGATTGAAGTGCTATTGCTATCCTTTCACACTACTGGACACATCAAAAATACCTGAGGTAAGAGCCGCACAAACTGACCCTGGCCCAGCCCAACTCAGCATTTCGTTTCCTGAAGCTCCAGAGGACTTGAGTACTGAGGGGAGAGCACAGGCCGGAAGCGGGGAGAGCAGGAGTCTGCACCATCTCTCACCTTCACACTCGCAGGTGTCACTATCCGTATCTGTTCTGCTTCGCCTGGTGCCAGGGCCAGGGAGCAAACCCTAGAGTCTCACATTTGAGTGTTCTGAGCTCCTCCAGCCAGTTTGTAAGCAGTTTTTTCCTTCTGGCACTGAGGACTGAACCCAGGGCCTCATGCCTGCTAGGCAAGCTACCACTGAGCTCCT